CACTGGAGTGGACGTAAACGTGCACTTGATGGTCGCAAGCGATTCCCCAACAGCACTCCTTGACGGCGGAAACCCTCTTGAACTCCAGCTCCCCGTTCTTGCAGATCTCCCAATACGGGCCCGCCGTCGAAAGCGTGTAGACCCTGCCGAAGATGTCGACGGCCCATAGGAGAGAACCGGACGATGTCATGGCTGGGACGCCGAGGGGGCGGGCGTCGGCCCGAGGTCGAATCCAGTCCTGGGAATGGCTGTTCGTTTTCCAGTTCCAGCTCAAACCAAGGGTGACTGGTTGAGATTAGGTTCTTCTAAGAGGATCTAGGAAAGAAAGATGGATGATTGATGGGGAGGTGACCAGTGTTCCCTCTAAGCTGAGTTAGTGTGAGCCAGCTCACAGTTTTTTAGCCTCCAGCTCACACATTTTTTTCTCAGCTCAGGAAGGATGGCTCCTGGAGAGAACCGGACGATGTCATGGCTGGGAGGCGGAGGGGGCAGGCGTCGGCCCGAGGTTGAATCCAGTCCCGGGAATGGCTGTTTGTTTTCCAGCTCCAGCTCAAGCACTCCACAGCTTAAAGGGAGCATTGGAGGTGACCGTTATCTATCCAGACAAGAAGAGCTACAACACCTTCATTCAGGAATCTCCAACCTTCTTGAGCTGGCAGGCACCTTTGGGATGTGGCGGACCCAGGTACAAAATGGCTGCCACAAAACGGCTGCTGCAGGAAGTGTAACCAGTCCCAAAATGGCTACCGCATCTACGGTGGCAGCTGCTGCCAAAACAATGCTTTTGAAACTCTGCACAGCCAAGGAAATCGTCAATGACCAATCAAAAGCTTTGCTGGGCAAAAGTCCCACCCATTGTCTAAAAATACTTGGTGGGCACCAGGAAAGGTGTTGGTGGGTGCCCTGTCCCTAAGACTCATGGGCCGGGGATGGGGGAAATGTACCGGGAGCTAGAACAACAGAGCCAGAAGTAAACGTGATGTGCCTCTATCACCCAGAAGTGACATAGGCACGTTGATGATGTCGGGGTGGGAGACACTCTGGTTTTTGGGCAAAACTCTATGGTTTGGAGCTAATTCTACCATAGAGCTTTGCCCAAAAAACAGAGCCTTGCCACCTGATGTCCCCAACATGTCTACTTCACTTCCTGGTCATGTAGGCACATCACAGCACTCCTCCTCACTCCTGGAGAGTTCCCACCCCACCCCCATCGGTGCATCATTGGGGCCTGGCAACCCTAAACAGAGGCGGTTTGCCGTTGCCTGCCTCTGCAAACCAGGGGATCCCCCTCGCGTCGGGGGGGGGGGACACCTGGCAACCCTATGCCCACAGGTTACACACTGGGGACCACTGCCTTAATTGATTTACAGCCCTTTTACTCCACTTTCTAACCAATGTTCTCAGGACAGTTTTAACACAGTAGTCCCCAACCTTTTGAAGCCTCCAGGCACCTTTGGAATTTTGATACAGGGTGGTGACCACAATCACAACATGGCTGCCGCAGGAGGTGGAGCCAACCAGAAAATGGCTGCCGCAGGGGGTGGAGCCAACCATGAAAATGTCAGGGAGTTATGTTATGCACATCTCTAATAGTAACTTTTCAACATATTAGGCGGAAACTCTGTTGAACAGGATGGCTTTCAAAATGAGCACATTGCTTTAAAGTTTTCATTGCCAACACACACAGTAACACAGTGAAGATCCTTGTGCTGTGGTGGTGGCCACTAGCATTGCCATCCTCCAGGTGGTGGCTGGAGACAACCAGTGTTCTCTCTAAGCTGAGTCAGTGTGAGCTAGCTCACTGTTTTTTAGCCTCCAACTCACACATTTTTGTCTCAGCCCCGGGAGGAGGGCTCCAGAGCAAACGAATCTATGCAGCAGCCAAATCACTTGCTCACAGCTTTTAATGCCAGCAGCTCACAAAGCAGAATTTTTGCTCACAAGGAGCAATGACAACTGATCTCCAGGCGACAGAGATCAGTTCCCCTGGAGAAAAGGGCCACTCTAGAAGGTGGACTCTATGGTATTATACCCCATTGAAGCCCCCCCTCCCCGAAACCCCCCCCCCTCAGGCCCCCCTCCCCGAACCCCCCCCCCCTCAGGCTCAGCTGAAAAAGCTCCAGGTATTTCCCTAGTAGCCACTGTTAAAACAATATGGGGGTCATTCCACTAACTGTGCTTGTTCGGGTTCATCAGACAGAGATCTGAAACCAGGGTCTGAAGCGGTGTTCCCTCTAAGCTGAGACAGTGTGAGCGAGCTCACCGTTTTTTAGTCTCCGGCTCACACATTTTTGTCTTGGCTCAGGGAGGAGGGCTCCAGAGCAGACTAATTGGTGCAGTAGCCAAACTGCTTGCTCACAACTTTAATGCCAGTAGCTCACAAAGTTGAATTTTTGCTCACAAGACTCCGCGGCTTAGAGGGAGCATTGGTCTGAAGTCAGTTTTTTGACTGGAGCTGGTAGTTTCACGAGATATGCTACTGCAAACATAATCCTGCTTTGTTAACTGGCACCGCCCTCCCCGGCTACAGGGCAAAGGAGGGGCGAAACTGGCGATCATCCAGGCAAATCAAGATCCGGGGCAGCCGTTCGCAAGCTTTCTCAAGCTACCCATAAGTTGAAATAAACCCCGGTTCTGCACTGTGTCTGACTCAAGCTATTATCACAGCGATGCTGACAACAAACTGGTAAGGTAGGCCAGTGTTATTACCCCCCGCCATATGGATAGACTGTGAGAGGCTGGCACAGTTGCCGAACTTGTGGCTTCAGCCTGCAACCTTTCTTTGACAACCCAACACACACACACAAATCTAACATACCACGCAGACGGGAATTTTCCCCTGAACAAGACCCATAACTTCTCATTGTTTTCCATCGAAAAGATTAGGGGGGAAATCCCTCCGATATTTTCACGCTATGCATTCTGAATGTGTAGACCCTTGCCTCGAGTAGAACCCGGGTTCGAATCCCCACTCTGCCATGGAAGCTGGTTGGGTGACCCTGGCCCAGTCGCACACTCTCAGCCTAACCTACCTCACAGGGTTGTTGTGAGGATAAGATGGAAGAGAGGAAAACCTAGTAAGCCACTTTTGGTCCCCATTGGGGATAAAGGCAGGGCACAAAGGAATTTCACTCCTCCGAAAAGGAAAACAAATTATAGGTGCCTTTTTTTTTTTAAGCATTACTCCAAACTTTCTACTTTTTCTCACCATATTCCCCCGACGTATCCCATCTGCAAGGAGGCTGGCAACCTCTAAGTAGAAATTGGCGGCAGGTTGAGAGGACAACATAGGTGTTAGAGGTATAGAGGTGCCAACCTCTAGGTGGGGCCTGGAGTTCTTCTGGAATTATAAACAGGATTGCCATCTCCAGGTTGAGAAATTCCTGGAGATTTGGGGATGGAGCCTTGCAGGATTTTCTGACTTGTGGGGCAAATCTTTTTCTGGTGGGGCTGAAGTTCTCAGTGCAGAAAGAAAAGCCATTTAGCCAATAAGAAGCTGTTCCCAGGCTAGAGCTCTAAACTGCAAGCTGTCGACCACTTTAGATGACAGTTCTCAGCTGCTGCAAGTTAATCACTTCTGCCAGCCTAAGCAACAGTTCTGAGAACAAGCCGGCAGGTGGGGCTGATGACTTCTATAGTCAGGAAAGCCAACACTTAAGGCAGAAAAACTCTCTTCAAGGAGACCAATACACAATAGCAGTCTTCAAGTATTTCTATTCTCTCTTGCTCCGGATTGCAAGACTAGATCTAATGGGTGGAAATTACAAGGGAGTCGTTACCGGCTAAATCTCAGGAGAAACTTCCTAACGGTAAGAGTAGTTGAGCAGTGGAACAGACTGCCTCGAGAGGTGGTGGATGCTCCTTCGCTGGACTTTTTCAAGCGGAGGCTGGGCAACCATCTTTTGGATATGTCGCAGGGCTATCTTTTGGCTATGCTCTTGCAGAGTGCAGGGGGTTGGACTAGATGACCTGCAAGGTCCCTTCCAGCTTTGACATTCTATGATTCTATGAGGGTCAAGCTATTATAAAAATACAAATATTTATTATGGTGTACACATTAGTAAAAGATAAAACAGGTTAAAAAAATGATCCAAATACCAGACTCTTAAAACTTTTTACACACAGAGCTGTTAGTTTTACGTATACAATTGATGCATATACCAAGCTGTGGAGTCTTGTAAGCAAAAAATTCTACTTTGTGAGCTACTGGCATGAAAGTTGTGAGGGAGCGATTTGGCTACTGCATAAACCAGTTTGCTCTGGAGCCATCCTTCTTGAGCTAAAACAAAAATGTGTGAGCCAGAGGGTGAAAAACTGTGAGCTAGCTCACACTAACTCAGCTTAGAAGGAACACCGCTTATGACAAGTAGACCAGACGCGTTTCGGCCCCTTAGGGCCTTCCTCAGTGGTCAATATTACGGCTGTAAAACAACACACATCCAGAAATAAATATATGAACCAAGAGTTTCTTCAGAGCCAGGTGTTGCTTTCTCATGTGATTTGCAATTGCTAAAAGTTTACACAGCAGGCCGTGGAGAATCTCTCAATGGGAACTGCACAGGCTCTCCAGGTTGTTCTGGTCACAAATATCCAGTGTGTCTGGATGCGTGTCTCTTCCATCAAAAGGAATTTGGGGAGGGAACTCGGATGCAATGCCACGGAGTCCACCCTCTGGAGTTGCTGTCGGGTTGCCAGCCTTCCAGGTGGGGTCTGGAGATCTCCCGGCATTACAGCTATAGCGATCCATCTCCCTTGAGAAATCGACTGCTTCAGAGGGAGGACTCTACAGCATCGCATCCATGCTGAGCCCTCCCCAAACTCTACCTGCAACCTGAAGCCGACAACCAGTGTTCCCTCTAAGCTGCGTTAGTGTGAGCTGGCTCACCGTTTTTTAGCCTCCGGCTCACACATTTTTGTCTTAGCTCAGGAAGGATGGCTCTAGAGCAAATTAATTTATGCCGTAACCAGGGGTCATTTCGTAGAAAAAGAGGTGCAGGAGCTCATTAGCATAACTTATTAGCATAACATTTGCATATGCCACACCCCCTGACATAACTGAAAGTGTGTCAGAAGGCAGCACCCACCACTCAGGCTCCACCAGACTCTTTTGGATTGCTAGCTATTGGGTGGGGGGAGGAACGTGCAGATCTGCCCTCATAGAGGAGGAAGAGATTGTACCTGAATAAAACT